TGCTCGCTCCAGCATTGGTTTATGACTGCTGCAGTGGATACAGTCTGCAGGATGCAAGTCTCCAAGGCTTTGAGTGCCACCTCTTAAACTGATCACAACCACTATGAATGACATGGCTGCTGGTGATTCGGAACACCATTGTTTTGTAGTCACACACCGCCTTCATTAGGATATACAAACACCATTCTTTTGTCATCACTAGGTTCAAATCCTGGAATTTCTTACATAACAGCACAAAGGGAGCACCTAAACTAGATAGACCGCCATCTCAAGGGAAGCTAGCAATGGGAAATAAATTCCAGTGACAACCAAATCCCAAGAAAAAGAAATGTTGCACAGTTGCTGTGAAATAGATGCTCTTATTATATCTGCTTTGGTGTTACCTGGATCAGGCTCTACTACACCCAAAAACGGGATTCCTCACTACTCTCCCAAATATGATGTTTTAGTTTAATCAAAGAAGAGATTTGCAAACTGTATTTTCCAAACAAGAAAGAATGGTAACTTTCCAAGTCAAATTCCCCTCTTACTACTGGCTGAAACGTTATAGACAGTTTTGCGTAGTGCATCAGCTCTCTTTACATACTATTGGTTAACAGTCATTCATTTTAGATAAGGCTCAAGTACCTCAGATTCTGTTGTCTCAGTTGGATTTTAAACCCATAAAAGTTTTGTGGTTTTCTAAAAAAGGTTATGCATAAGACCTGAAGATTAAAAGAAACAGTCTATATTTAGATATTAGGTATCAAGGAATTACTTGAAAATATAGTACACAGTTAAGACAAATACACGAAAACTATTGGTGTCATCCCAACATCATGCAAAGTATTAAAATAATTTATCCTCAAATTCTAAACACTGAATTTTTCATTAATTGTGTATTAGTTACTTTACAGAAGACCTGAACTTGGAATACCTGATACACTGTTTGAAAAAAGATAAATTAACAATTCAGTCCTATAGTTAAAATTGTCCATTCTAGATATACCTAAGGAATAATGCGTCAGGGCAAAATTTATTTGATTGCAGTTTTGCTTCTACTCTGATTGTAGAGTGTATGATTCATGTCTGTTGATTTATTTTTGTTATTCATGAAAAATGGTCAGAACATTCAAGGTAGGAAATGGGACAACAGGCCATGACGATAAACAAGCTGGCATCTGGTTCTGTTCCAAAGGAGCACTGTCGTCATTTTGAAGATGTTTATTTATATAATTTGTGTCATGCCCCAAGTAAACAGCAAGGGCAGTGTACATGACCAGCCCAACAAAACATTCCTCAATAACAACGTATAGAGTAATTATTTAAGAAGGATCCTCAAATGTTATGTCTCCCCAAAAAAAGGAACAATTTGTTATTCTGTGTCCACTGTGTGAAGATATTACTTTTCACATCTGAAAATAATGATGGTATGATCATATCTATTTGGTCTCTTTACAAATTGTCTTATCTTAAGTATTTCTGAATTTTAATCTATAATGAAACCAGACAGGAAGATCAAGTCATCAATTCACTTGATTTTCTAGAATTTGAATTGCCTCGAAAGAGATTTTGTTTAAATCATAATGAAAAAGTGAGAATTTAGCCACAGATCTACAAAGAAAATGCAATAATTTTATTTTTAGAAAAGGACAATAAAACAACAAGGTACCAACAACTGGTTACAAAGCAAAAAAATCAGAGTGCTCTGCTTTAGCAGATCTATAAACAACCACTAGTTTTCTAATCAACCTGTTCAGAGAAGGTATTACACATGTCTGGAGCAGGTGGGACTTGAACTCTGGCATCCCAGTCCAGGGATAGGGACACTACCACCATGCCACAAGCGGGCCCCCTAAATTATGCAACAATTAAACAAGATAAGCAAAAGCTTCATCAGAAACCCAACAGTGCATTACCAAATAAAATGATCGGCTCACAAGGTCAAAATCACTGTACATGCAATGAATTGATACAAATCAAACTTTCACAGCATTCAAACTTGCAAATTAATAAAGGTTTATTGCAACTCCCAACCATATGTTTGAATAGTCTCACCAGAGGGCACAGGCCAACAACTGCACCGAGTTAACGGTGTAGTGTTCCTCAAACTGAAATTTCTTTGTTACAACTTGTAGAACTTACTGTCTAAACAGTCTCATCAAAGCACAGCAAGTAACTTTTCATTTCATTATGCTAGTAGACCGGTATCTTAGTCAACTTTTACTTTTATAGACTGGAAATGGAGACCTCACCAAGTGCTGAAGTGAAGAAAGGAAGGATTTGCTCCAAGTCCTATAACCCAGCAACAAAAGCATTACACAAACACCTGCTCAAATACCTGCAACTCATCCTGAGATGATGCATTATTATTGTAACACTACACACCCTCATGATTGTTTACGGTAGGAAACATAACTCCACATTTCAATTTAATCCAAAAGGCCTTAGTTTACGCATAGAAGACATTTAGCCACTATGTCGTGCCACTGTATTAGTCAATAAAATTAATCATGACATTTTCAGGTCGAGATTTAAAACTTTCAAACAGTAACACACATGAACCTATGACAGACATATATATGATCAAAGGCAGCAATTCAATCCAGAGCTACTGATTGTCACCAGAATTTTGATAAAGTGCGATGACGGATGTTTAACTATACCGTGTGCAAGGCCTTTCAACAAAAGGAACCTTTTAAGCATTTTCTCGAGGTGCTGAATCATTTGCTCGATCGACTCACATTTTGCAATACGAATTATCACATCAGTCATCTAGGGACATAGAAATTCTGATCCTGTGATTTAAATTGACCACTGCTGCAGTCTTCTGTCCCCCCAAAACAAATATGAACTTTCAAAAAGTTGAAACCCCTTAGTTGTCTGTTCCAGCACCCGCTCCACACACACTACTAGCGTTGGTACAGTAAACTCGGAGAGCAATACTCCATGCAACAGGTTTCCCCCCAACATTCAGATGGCAGTGAAAAGTTGTTTCCACCACTGCACAACTGAAGGTCCATGTGCCAATTATTATGCACAACTGTCCACAAATAAGTGCTGGTGATAAGGGACCACTGTCTTCCGGTGATTTCAGCGGCTGGAGAGCGAGCAACAAAGCAGAGTGGAGCCCATAAGTGGCTTTCACATGCGCTGGGGCTGCTGGGAGCGTTGTACCTCCATAGTTGCCGCTCTTCAGCCACTTAAGCAGAAAGAGAACTCACAGTCGGCAACCCCTCCGCTAACACCACCCACCGGAAGATATGTCCTATAGGTGATCCAGTCAGGTGCCCTGGCTTCAGTCTCACGCGGCAGCATTGACTGAACTAAATCAGGGTGGTGTACATGACTCATTCTCCATGCGATCTAACTCGCTGTCTCCACCCTCCACCACACTCCCTCACCCCTCTATATGAAGCATGTGCAAAGTTAGTATCTGCCGGAGTTTGGAAACGCAGCTAACAGAGGCACTGGACGATGTTGCACTGTCACGCCTCCAGTTATATCCCTCCAGATAAATTGGACTTCTAATTTCCTTCAGCAAAGCCTAGCCCCCGATCATCTCCCCGAGCTTGTTTCTCTTTGCAATTGCACTAATAACATCTCGCTCTGCGATCTTAACCGATATTAAAATTTGTAATCGAGACTATACAGTAAACGCAAAACACAACATACCGAAACGTAACCTAGAGGAACCATGCGCTCGAGATATTTTATCACTGAAGTCAAAAGCAGCTAGGGAGTGAAACGAGAAAACAAACAGATATGGAAACCAGCTGGTTAATTCCAGCCAGTTCAGAAAAAAACCGTTTCATTGTAAATTCGCTGCCGACAAATAAGCTCTCTCTCCCCGTTTATAACCAAACCCATTTCATGAGAAATGTATCTCTGTAAACCAGGAATTGTAAATATCAACTATCAGAGCTTAATGCACAGATAAGGGGGTTTGTGCGTGCGCAATTTCTAACTGTACTCATAATGCCCCAGTCATTTAAAACCGCAGTAATCTGAAGACACCGAATTTACAATGTTATCAATCAGACTAAAAAACCGTTCATTTTACATATTCCATCCTCTTTACCATTTCAAAGCTCTAAAAATTGAAGACAACATCTCTAGTTCTGATGACAGCAACGTCAAAACCTGACTTCAAAGGTGCAACCATAAACAGTGAGAAATGGAGCAAGCATACAGCTATGTACAAGCATGGTGCAAGCACGGTGCAAGCACAAACAGTAAGAGTCTTCTAAAAACAGCATTTCAAAAACAAAGGCACAGATTAAGTCTTCAGTTACAAAAACACAAGATGCCGGAGAAAGTCTGGCAATGTCTATGAAAGGGGAGGCAAAGTCAACTTTTTCATTCTGTTTCAGTTGAGAAGAGGTCTTAAAAAAAATGAACGCTTTCTCTCCCAACAGATGTTGCCAGTGCTGCTGAATTTCTCTAGCGTTTTTACGTTACTCTAGATTTGCAGCGTCCGCAGTATTTTAGTTTTAAGTCTTCAGTAACCTACTTTAATTCATTTCTTCCACAATGACCACGTGTATTACATTCAGTAACGACTTAGTTTCCCTGTTTGACTAACTTCCAAGTCTCCTCTCTCTGTGTCTCTCCCTCCTCACGTTGCGCGAACTGACCATATTCCTCCCTCTCCAGTCAGTCTATGTTCATGGCTCCCATATGTGCCTGCCTCCTTCTCCAGCCCAGCTTGTCATGACACAAAGCTCCCTGTTCTCCGCCCGGGACAGAGCCGCATCTTCAGTTGCTCTTTTCTCCCGCGGCAGCCACTCAGTAACGCCGCACTGACAAGCCAGACACAGAGCCCTCGTCGATACAGTGTGGAGCTGGAGCAGCAGTCCTGAAGAAGGGTCTAGGCCCGATATGTCGACTCTCGTGATGCTGCCTGATCTGTATTCCTCCAGCTCCACATTGTTTCGCCTCTGACTCCAGCATCTGCAGTTCTTGCCATCTCCCAGATACAGTGCCCTTGACTTTTCACACATTCACTGCTGTTCGCTTACCTTGAGCTATCGCCATGGACTCGAACCTCTGGAGCTCCTGCAACAGACTCTTCCTCTCCTTAGAGTGCAGGCTGTAGATAAAGTCTCGGGCTCCCTGCGAAGTGTTCAGGGGCTCCACCGGCTCCTTGGCCGAATGGGTGCCGAGGCAGCGCGGGGCAAAAGCGGCGGTGGTAGTATTAAAACAGGACAGCAACGAAGGGGCAGGGGGGAGGAACGGACAGCTTTCGGTTCTCCTTCCAGAGCCGAGGCTACACGCCAGAGTCCGGGCGGGTCGCAAAACTCTTCTTAGGCAGGAGACCAGCAGCAGCATGGCGAATACAGAGAATGAAGAGCGATCGAATAAGAGAATGGGAAGAAAGAATAAAATGAAAAAGTCTTGACTTTGCGAAGTGATTGGGGGAACAGCGTAACCACCCCAGTTGAAAATTAAGCTCGGCCTTAGCGTAGCATTATCTGCTGTTGGCAACACCACGTCCGGAGGTTCTAAATTCCAAAGCCGAGAACCCCTCCTCCCAGAGGCTGCAACGAATAGCTGAGCCAGGCTCCAATACGTAGGCGTGCACTTCCGGCCGCTCCTCGTCCATGCTGATCCGAGGCACGAAGGGACATGTAGTCTCTCCCGCCTTGCTCTCCTCGCAACCCAGTGGACGAGACTACAACTCCCAGGAGCGCCTCTGCGGCCCTACGCGCAGTGAGGTCAGGTACGGCTCTTCAGCTGCCTGTCAATCACCCAAGGGGCAAGGCAACGATCTGTCAGGGGTCAAACCGGTTCGCGATGAATCGCCGGCAATCGCAGGTCGTGAACTAAACCCAGGGTTTTGCGTTCATCCGCGTCCGTTTCATTCATGGATTTCCGAACAGTCTATTTTGCACGAATGCAGGAATACGGAACTGCTGGTTATCTTTACACGGCCAGGAGCATCAGAATCATACATTGCGCTAATCATTTGATAAACTTTTGTTCTTTCCTCTGGTTATGACTAACAAGTTTTGTGCACGTCTATTTATGGCATCGCATAATCTACAGGCGTCCCCGATTTACAAACATCCAATTTAGGAATGCTGGTACTTACGAACACATTCTCATACAAGGGTGTGATTTTAAAGATCTGACACACAAACGTTTCCTAGATTTAGGAATGCCTCCTTTATATGGTGCTACATTGTGTTCCGATTTGTGTACAAATCGATTTGCGAATGGACTCCTGAACATAACTCATTTGCAACCTGGGCTCTGTCTTTATATAAACTATATATTTATGTGTATTATTTCTCCCAACCTGCAGAAGTGTGTTTAATTCTGGGCACCACAAGTTAAGATAGATGTGAAGATTTTAGAATGGCTTTCATAGAGATTTATTGGAATGGATTACAGCTACAGAAACTGGGATTATTCTACTTAGTACTCAGAAGATAAAGAGGAGATTTGATAAATGCATTTAAAATCATGGAAGGTTTGGATAGAAAAAGAGAAACTGTTTCCCATGGCTGAAGGGTCAAGAACCAGAGGCCACAAATTGAAAGTGATTGACCAAAGAACAGAGGACATATGAGGAAAATCCTTTTTTGAAATGAGTTATGTTAATGATAAATATAAACGATCGAAATTCAACCTTCATCATCTCATTTTAATACCTGAAACCTTTCATGGACAAAAGTGAATTTTAAAAAATGACAAATACTGATCTAAAATGGCTGCTGTAATCACCTGAAGAGTTTCTGCCAAGGTCATGAAGCCATCAATAAACAAGGATTAGTTTGAGCCAAAATTCATCTTATTATAAAAAGTGTTGAAAATCAGATCAGTATCTTCCAGTTGATGCACACATTTCTGTAAGTTAACATTAGAATGGAAGTTGCCTCTAGATCTTCTGGCTTTGAGAGCTAATGATGTCAGATACCAACATGCTACCAACATACACAAAGGAACTATATTTTAACAGCTGCTTCTGTGTTGCAGTGCAGAAACAAGGAAACATGGATTTGTAAGCGAGAACTAGGAGACTTTATTCCATCTTCAAATTCAGTGCTCAGTGAAAAAACTTGAAACAACAGCCACTCACCGAGGACTCAGGGATCCACAAACTTCACCACTACTGAAGAGTCAAGGAGACAGTTGAATAGTCAGATTCAGGTCACTCTCAAAACTCAACATTCAAAGAAATTTAAACTGGAATTGCTTGACATCCTGCCAGTACTTGACGCCATCCCCATCTTTTTTAAGCTTATTATCTATGGTTACGTGTTTGTTTGATTATTATTTTCTCAGGGTTAGTAGATCAAATTCCTCTCTCATTCACTCAAGAAAACCTTGTAATTTCCCTCCCTCATTTTGATTGAGTTAAATACATTTTAATTGAAATGTGATAAATACAGGCAAAACAAAACATATTTGTTGCTAACAACTGAGAGGCAGTTAAAAAGATAGGAGCCAACCACCCCTTCTCACTACATCGTAACAAATCAATGGAAAGCTCTGCTGACGAGGGTTTTTTTTTAATTTATTCACAGATGTCGGCATCATTGGCTAGGCCAGTATTTATTGCCCATTGGCCAGAGTCAACCACATTGCTGTGAGCCTGGAGTCACATCTCGGCCAGATCAGATAAGGATGGCAGATTTCCTTCCGTACACGTCATTAGTGAATCAAAGAGGTTTTTAATGACAATTGACAGTGTTTATTTGGTCATCATTAGACCAGCTTTTAATTCTAGATATTTTGTTGAATTCAAATTTCACTATTTATCATGAAGAACATTCACCTGGGGTTCTGGGTTACTTGTTCAGTGACACTGTTACTATGTCACCATTTCCCCATTTGGTGGTGGAAACAGCTTCAAGAGTAGGTTTCAAAAGGTAATTGACAAATATATGGAAGAAGAAAAAAATTACTAGCATGGGGGATCATGCTGGACTAAATGGATTGCTCTTCAAAAGAGTCTGCCCAGATCAAATGGCCTCCTTCTGTGCACTACTGGTCTATCCATGTTTTAGATTCTGTGGTGCACAACTCCCTTTGTGGGAAAGGATGGTACTTGAGTCCAAACTACAAAGATTAAATCTTACAAAAGATGGATGGACTGCCATTCACTATCCTCTGAGTCAAACGATGTGAAGTGAAAGATTTAGCTGTTCAAATAATTCCTGGGAAGACTTTTGCGCAAAACATGAAAATGAAAAGTGCGAAGGTGCTTTGATAAGTAGGTTGTTCTATCATTTCTATTTAGCATATATGTATATTCAATTGTAATCAAAATTTATATGTATGGAAGAAATTTCAGTTCAAGCAAAACTGTTGAACTTATTTAAATTCAATAATTTATTACCTAACCTGATAAGTGGATCCAGAACAGGAGGATAATCAGGGCCTATGATTTCTTTCTGCAGCCTGGAGAGCACTATTTAAAGTTGAAACATGTCTTTAAGGTAAGGGGCACAGATTTAAGGTAAAGGCAAATTCAGGCTAAGTGGTAGGCAGGGAAGTGGATGAAATAATGCAAATAGAAGTTTGAATGCCATATAATTGTATACAAGAAAATTAGCTGACTGTCTCCCTCATTCATGTAGCCACTGTGGGGACTGAAGTGAAATCTAGTAATATTATGTGAAATATTGGAACAGTGCATAGTGATAAGAAATATTGGAGTGAATTCAGGATGAACTGTGTTTACAAACTAATGGCACAATAATGTTGAGATGTTTGATTATAATTCATTTGCTCTTGTGAAATATCCAAGAGGCAATGGGGTAAGTATTTCCTCAAATCACGGGAATCAACTTTTTAACCGCTGCCTGCACATTTCTCATCCAAACATGAAGTGGCCACAAAATGAAAACCGAGTTGGGGAAAACTTTCTATTGATGTCTAAGGTTTGCCTGATATAGTCTTCAGTAGATGGGTGAGTATAGCCTCCCACATCAAATCAGGTGGCAGGCTACTGAAGTAAACAAATCAGGGGTATTGTGTCGTAGCTAGGTTGGTTAAAGCATCTGATTAATAAACAAGAGATTCATCGTGAAGAAAAACTGAAAGAACCACGGCTGCTGTAAATCAGAAACAAAAACAGAAATTGCTGGAAAAGCTCAGCAGGTCTGGCAGCACCTATGGAGGGAAATCAGAGTTAACATTTCAGGTCGAGTGACCCTTTCTCAGAACTGATGGTTCTGGGAAAATTTTGGTTTATATGCAGAAGGTAGGATGGTGGGGAGATGGTAAGAAGTAAATTATAGATAAGGATAGAGCCCAGAGAGAGAGAAGAACAGTTAGACTAACAAATGAGTGGATAATGATCTGGCTAGGAGGGTGAATAGCTAATAATGGGAACTGTTAGTGGCTAACAATGGGTTGTGTGATAACAAGGCTTGGTGTGTGGGGTTTGGGTAAGGACATGGCATCCATTGTGTCATTTAGAGAGTTTTTTTATTGAATCCCTACAGTGTGGAAACAGGCTCTTCAGCTCAACAAATCCACACCGACCCTCAGTGTATCCCAACCAAACCCATCTCCCTATAACCCACCTAATCTATGCATCCATAGACATCATGGGCAATTTAGCGTGGCTAATCCACCTAACCTGCACATCTTTGGACTGTGGGAGGAAACTGGAGCACCCGGAGGAAACCCACACAGACACGGAGAGAATGTGCAAACTCTGCACAGACAGTCACCCGAGGGTGGAATCAAACCAGAGTTCCTGGTGTTGTGAGGCATCAGTGCTAACCACTGAACCATCATGTCGCCCCAGAATGGACATCAATGAGCATATTGTTGCTGAGCAGGTACTGCTTGATAATACTGTTCATAGGTCATAGAATCCCTACAGTATGGAAACAGGCTCTTTAGCCCAACAGGGTCCACACTGACCCTCAGACATCCCACTGAGACCCATCCCCCTGTAACCCACCTAAGCTACACATTCCTAAACACTATGGGCAATTTAGCATGGTCAATCCAACTAGCCTGCACATCTATGGACTTTGGGAGGAAACCAGAGCATCTGGAGGAAACCCACGCAGACACGGGGAGAACGTGCAAACTCCACACAGACAGTTGTCCAAGGCTGGAATCGAACCTTGGTTCCTGGCGCTGTGAGGCAGCAGTGCTAACCACTGAGCCACCATGCCGCCGTTAAAATTTCTTGTGGTGCAGTGGTAATGTCCCAACGTTTGAGTCGGAAGGCATCAATTTAAGTTCCACCTGCTCCAGAGGTGGTTTATAATACAGGTTGACTAAAATTACCTATACACAAATTGTAGGATCTCGATTGTAAATGGCAGGTACAAATTACCTTACTTCACTTGTTTCAAGCATTGAACAGCCTTAAGCTGTACTCATTAAATGAATCAATGTGGTACAGGAAACTTTAAGGTATGCGTGCTTTATATTCCTCCCAAATATCTCTGAACTAGCAAAGCTCATTCAATGCTCCATCCCTGTACTTGTGCTTTGCCGCTCCATTTTCTTTTAGGAGGGCTGAATTTCAGGTCACCTATGT